GGGCGGCTTGGTTCAACCGGATAAGTTAATACCCCGGATGGGCCTTGGTCCTTGGGCGGCTTGGTTCAACCGGATAAGTTAATACCCCGGATGGGCCTTGGTCCTTGGGCGGCTGGGTTCAACCGGGTAAGTTAATTCCCTGGATGGGCCTTGTGCCTTGGGTTCAACCGGGTAAGTTAATTCCCTGGATGGGTCTTGGGCCTTGGGCGGCTAGGTTCAACCGGGTAAGTTAATACCCTGGATGGGCCTTGGGCCTTGGGCGGCTAGGTTCAACCGTGTAAGTTAATAACCTGGCTGGGCCTTGGGCGGCTGGGTTCAACAGGGTACGTTAAAACCCTGGATGGGCCTTGGGCCTTGGGCTGAGATAACGCCTTTGTTGAACCCTGGCTGGGTTCAACCAGATAAGTTAATACTGACCGACCCTCGGCGCCCGGTATTCGTCCCTGGGACGCTGCATCTCTCTCTCGCGGGAAACCCTCGGCAACCCCGACGCCTGTCCTCCCTGTTGCGTCCTCCATTGGCGAGCCGAACAACCAACGGCCAGTATTCTTCCAGCGGTGGCGGCAGTGCGACGCGACGACTTCGCTCGGTACCTCCTCTCTCTGGCGGTGCACCGTCCGTCTACTCGCTCGCTTTCTCTCTTCTCTTCCCCGCAATGCAGCACCCTTCCCCCCTTCGTCTCTATCGCTGCACCACACCACCCCGTGCGTCGGAGGCTGCCTCTCTCTTTCACATGGCAGTACCCCCTTCTCCTCTCCGCCTCTGGTCGCTCTTAGCCCTCGCCCTTGCCTTCCCTGCCAGCAACCTCCTTCCTTGGCCTTCCCCTACTCACAACCGACCTGCTCCCATTCTCAGCCCCCTCCCCTGCAAAATTCTGCTAGTTTTTGTTTATAATAGTTATTTCTTATGAACAATTGTTTATGAATAGTGTTAATTACTGGATTTGTGACTGCTAGAATTTTTAATTTTTAATTTTTGCTATAGTTTTCAATAGTGTTAACTTTGATGTTAATCTTCTTTCGTTTTGTTATTTTGTTATTAGATTCGGGCAATTTGGTACTTCAATGTTTTGTAGATGGTTAAATGAATGTAATTGGATATTTAGCGCTGATAATTCGAATATTTAGTTCTTCAATGTTTTTTAGACGGTTAAACGAATGTAATTTGATATTTAGTGCTGGTAATTCAAATATGAAGTTGTATGGAACTCATATTGTGTCTAATTTTTTATTTTAATGATTGGATTTCTTCTTAATTATTTCTTCTTATTATTTTTATATTGGTTAGTGCCTAGAGCCTCGTTCGTTTTGGAACATTAGTGCCTTTTAGTACCTAGCGCCCTTGACAACATTGCATCCAATTAAGAGGGAGTTTGTGCTTGTAATTCTGCAGTGGTCTGCCTCAGAATAAGCTACTCAAGAATTAGAACTAAAAGAATCTAACATTGAAATTTTCTGCCACAGAACACATCAAAAGGCAGAGTGTCCATGGGAACTGAGAAATTTATGTTTTCTAGCCCTCGTAACAGGGGGGAGCCCAGCAAGCAAGATGAAGAGGCCTCTGAAGAGCTAACAGTAGAGTGAACACTCACTTTCATTCAAGAAACCTGTTACTCCTTGTGTCTTCCAAATCTTCTTCATTCATATAATTATGATCTTTGCTAATAGGAGGAGGATTTAGAGCACGAGCTTGCTGATATAACCTTTGAAGATCTCCAAAGAGCTCGGGCTGATGGCTCCCATCGCTCCCATGCCACCCAGCTTCATCAACAACTGAAGCCCAGCCGTGCTAACAAGAATAGGTATCTCAATTCTTTTTTTCTCGTATTTTGTAATTGATTGTATTGATTATACACATTGGTTTGGGATTTCTTTGTTGGATAGGCCAATGGAGATGAGTAGCAAAATGAGAGTTGGGAGGTTTAGGGAGGTCATCCAGGCACCCAAAAAGGTGAGCTTTTGCGATATCAGAGTTTCATATTCACATATTCAAAAGTACAGTTGTGGAGTCTGATATGTTATTTTGCTGTACTGGTGATGCCATGCCATAGTTGCTTGGCATTACAGAACCCTGCTATCTGCATGACATGCCAGCATATACAATGTGTACATACAATCACACCTTTAGGTCCTTTACACAGCATGACATATCCATCTGTGCTAGTACACTCTGGAAATTTGGTGTTACACCAAAGAGAGGTAGGTTTACAGTATGTTATGGGGAATGGATCATCGGTATATCACCTGAAATTACTTGTTTAACCCTGTCATGCATATGCATTTGGTTCAATATGTTTGTGTGAGCAACAATGTCGATATTGCTATGTGGCTATGCGATTCCTATGATACTGGTCTTGTCCCATTACAAATTATCTTAAAGGACTATTATAATGATGTCTTAAAATGCCTTTTTGCACTTCTTAGTGTATTTTAAAATGCATTTAAATTTTAGCTCCAACAGCAGCAGAAATTGCTGATTAAAGTAATTGCTCTAGATAACCAATGCTTTAACTTGCACTAGTGCTAACACTTAATTTGCCAAGTACCAATCCTCTGAGCCCCTTAGGATAGATGTTTGGATGTCATTCTGTTTTGTCTTAGTTCAAAAATGATTTCTTTATTAAATTTGTATTCCTGTGATTTTCAATGCTTTACAGTTATTTATGAGCAACTTTGAATTTGTACTTTGCATTGATTCCCATAAAGCACTATCTGAAAGTGAACTACATGATACTAGTATTTTACTTTTCGTTCTTATTTGTCTTTCTTTCAACCAGCTGATAGTGTATGTAACAAATTTTGGTGTGGCTTCTTGGTTATATGTGATTGCTTTTTCAACTTCCTAGTAGAAATTGTTATTAGAAGTTCCTGTTTAGAATACCATATCTTTGCCATTGGGAATTTGGGAAGGAAATATCATAGCCTATGACATTATAATGTACTTTTGAGGGGTAAATATTTGACTCATATGTTACTAAAACTCAGAGTGGTTGACTGAGGTATTTGGGAAAAAAAAAAAAAGATCTTCGAATTGCAAATAACGTCACAACTCCATAAATTGTAGTGTTAGTGAACCGTTCACTTGTATCTGTTGTTTTAAGTCTGGTCATCATTTTTTTGCAGGTTGTCAGAGATCCACGATTTGAATCTTTATGTGGAACTCTTGACACAGATGGGTATGCTGTTTCTTCTTCTTCTTTCCTTTTTGTTGATTCTTTTGCTTACTTTTTTTTGTTTTTTTTGTTTTGGTTATGTTTTGTGTGTGGGGAGTGGGGGAGGATTCAAGTACTGTGGATTAAGCTTTATCCAGTATATCTTAGATGTTCTTTCTGCTTATACATATAATTTTTGTGTGCATTTTGGTCCATGCATTCAAGCACAAATGTTCAGAAAATATTGTTCATGATTTTAGCACACCAATTATTACCTAGATCGCAATGAATATATTTGATGTAATCCCTTTTGTAATAGTCATTTACATCATTTAAAATCTTTTAAGTTTCAGATTATAGGAATGATCAACAGCCATATCATCATATTGATTATGCCATTATTTTCTCCCTTTGTATATTATTTTGTTTGAGTTGTATGAGAAATTAAAAAAAAAGTTTAGCTCACTCAACTAATTCTGCCAATTCTGATAGAACATTGAACAAAAGTTTATAGGTTGATAGATCTTACATATATGAATTAGTTAAATGTTGAAGGTTCTTATTTTATGAGCAAAATCAATCCCAGGCCATCAAGCTGAAATCACATATATTTGGAGGAAAAAACAAAACAGGGCCTCTTGTATGGATTCAGCATATCCTGACAAATGAATACATTGATTATCCTAGTGTATCTTTACAATCGGTGCTTTGTGGCTAGTGCTTATGCTCCTAAAGTATCCATAACCATATTCACTCATAGCAGCTAGCAATAGTCAAAGGAACACTCCTCATGGCAGGCGTAAAAAGAGCAAGATATAGATGCAGAAACTGAAACAGTTATGATTGAAAAGGAAAATAAATCTATATATGCTAGACATTCAATTACCTTGTTTCTCAATGAATTCCATATGTGCTTTTAATTGTATAAATTTTTTTGATACATTTTAGCAAATTCTGGGCTCAAATACACAGCCCTTGGAAAGAAAGGCAAGTTTGACTACGAAATTAATTTCTTGATGGAATTCCAAACAATTCCAAACGACAGTTGCATCATTTGTTTGGAATTGAACCCTTCTGTTGGGTGACCGCTTGAGTACATAGTCACCGAGAAACTCATCTTCCGCTTGATCTTGCTTTTTTCCTGAAATAAAATAGAATGGAGAAACAATTGATTACATTGAAGACTTATGGGTAATTTGGCACTTGTTGGATCGAAGCTGGAACAGTTTTAATATAGTTATTGGATACCAATAGCTATCTTTGACTGTCTCATCAAGTGCCTGGTTTGCATCATCAAGGATACCATAATTGAAATATGTGCAGATCAAACGAGGCATCAATGGGAAATTCATAATGGCATCAACTAGTGTCAAAAGGCTAGCTAATACTTCTTTCTTGTGTCAAGCCTTCTCTCTTTGTTTGATTGAACTCTTGAAAGACATGTTTAGTGTTACCAACTATGTGAATATTGTGATCACATTCATGAACTGGTGACCGGCCAGAAGTTTGAAACCTGTACACTGACCCTTGATTCAGAGCGTACATGCTGACCAGAGCAGGACCGGAGAACTTACTGAAATCTGACTTTATAATTAAAAAATGTTAACAATGACCAATTTTGAGGTATGCACAGATAATGGACTTGAGGATGTTGCCAATGTAGTAACATTTTGATGACATGGTTCTGAATATAGTTCATGCTTGCTGGTGCACATGAAATAAGAAGTTACCTGCACTGTGGGAGTTCCATGACTGCTGTAATTTAACTACGCTGAGTCTGAGGATGTTTGTTCTTTATATATGTATTATTGGCAGCCGCTCACTTTATATACCTAGATGTGAAAAATGGATTCTTTCAGCACTTATAAACATAGATTGTGAGAGAAATTCCATGTAGAACTTTCTTAAATCATGAAATATAAGTGAACTGACTCTTACAAACTGACAAAGATAAGAAGATAATTGTTCAGAGGTGTGACAACTCGAACGAATTTGCCTGAGCTGCTATTCATAGGCAATTTTTGTGTCTTTTTATTGTGCTACTTTGAGTGATATCTATGGTTCAAGTTATGATATGCAACCTTGTTGTCCTTTAAGTGTTCAGCTTTAATTTGTTTAAGAAAAAGTGGAAGGAGAAAAACAATGGCAAAATCCCAAATCCTTTCATGAAGAGAAAAAGTACTTATAATAATAGAGAATGATCTAATGACCGCAAACGAATTTTGAGCCAATATTATTGTATATGGTTAATTGGGTGGAATGTACCTTCCAGAAATTTATAAAGTGCAATAAATAAAAATCTACAATATTTCAAAGGTGATGCTGAGGTGTCTTTGTTGAAATTAACATAGTCAATTTAATATTATGTAGGCTTAATGAAGATGCTTCCTTTCGTTTTGCATCCTTCTTATGTGTTTCCTGTCCTCACATGTTTTTTCCCAAGTTGGTTCCTGTATTGTTGTACCCTTTGAATGGATACATCACTAAATGGTGAAAAAGATAAACTCAATAATTGTGCTGTTACATTTTCTTTTCTTTCAAATTTTAGCTGCTTCATTAACATTATGTTTTCTTCTGTTATTTTAGCAAACTAAACATTTTTAATTTTTTTTTGCTGTAATATTAGGTTTAAAAAACGATACAGTTTTCTGTTTGAGGTTGAACTTCCTGCAGAGAAAGAGGTGATTTTTTAAGATGAAACATATTTTTCAAATTATTTACTGAATGATAGATGATTCTACTAATGCCATTGGATATCTGCAGAGACTTCAAAAGTTGATCAGGAAGTCAAAAGACCCAAATGCTGTTGAGGAATTAAAGAGCCACCTTTCTTGGATTGTAAGTTTTCACCGAGAAAGTCTAACTTGCTTCATTGTTTCATTGTTTATTTTCTTATTAATATTGTTATTATCTTACTAATGGTTCATTTCAGCTTTTACCCTAAAAGAAAATTAAAACAAATGCACATTTGTGTAATCTTAATCGTAGGTCATAGTGGATTCTTGATTGCTAACCTCAAACTGTGTGATGTGACAAAAATCTGTTCACTCATGATACTGGTCCTGGTTCCTTTGTGTCCTTGCACTTGAGTTTGCGATCCCAAGTCTTGTTTTACATATTGAATCACAAGGTCAAGGTTTTGGTGGAAGGCCATCTTTAAGGACAAGACCATGTATTTAGTAGCTGTATCTAGGGTACAGAGGCCTCAGTTCTTATCCTGATCTACGCTCATATAGAATGTGTAGGACCTCAGCATAATATGCTCTGTGATTTGTGTTTTTTATGGCAGAAAAAACTTTACAAAATCATTTTCTTGTGCACGATTTACTTGCAATTTGGAATTTTGTGCTAATTATATTTTGCTGAAATTATCTATGTTCATTTTGGATGACCTGAAAGGCTAATCGTTGTCTAAAACAACTTTGGTTATTCAGGATAAACAGATAAAATCAGGTCCTCGGAAGTGTGCTGAATCTGAGATCTTGTCTGAGCATATAAAGAAAGAAAGGGAAGCAGCAAAACGAGGGAAACAACCATATTATTTGAAAAAATGTATCTATTTGCTCATTTATCTCTTTCTTGCATTTCTTTGTTGGTGCGCAACAGTCCGACATTTCTTGTGTGCTTGTGCTTGTGCATGTGCAAGTCTGCATGTCCATCCTGTCTTGCCTATGCTCTGGGTTTCTTGTTGTCCAATAATGCAAGATCTAACTTGAATTTTGTTTGTGCAGCGGAAATTCGAGAAAGAAAACTGATACAAAAGTACAATGAACTCAAGGTACTATCTTGACCCATTTAGCCTTGGCTGTTTGTCTGGAAATCTTACAATTTTCTTAATTGGCTTCTGCGTTCTTCTCGAGTATATTACAGGCTGCAGGAAAGCTTGATTCTTACATTGAGAAGAGGCAGAAGAAAAATGCTTCCAAGGACCATCGTTACATGCCGTACCGCAGATCTGGCAATGATGCACAGGAATAGGGTCTTGTTCTTTTGCTCAAAGTCAATGTGCTTTGTTTATTTCCATACCCTACCACAGATCTGGCAATGATGCACAGGAATACGGGCTCATGGTTTTGCTCAAAGTCAATGTGCTCTATTTATTTCCATCCCAACCCCGAAAGAATTCTCTGCTGCTCCTCATTCTGCAGGATTTTGTAGTGCCCAGCTTTGTTTGCTTGAATGCAGGCTTGTACAAGAAAGGAAAAAAACAAGAGAAGAGCGAGCGATCAAGCATTTTTACCACATGTCCGTGTGTCTGAAACCTGACCCAGTACAAGAATATTTGATGCAAACTTAGCAAATAGCAAGTTGTTCTTGTTTAATTTTATTCTCTTTCTGGAAGAACAAGATCTGGATAGTTGGTCATACATGTTGCAAACTATGGGTGTCTGCTTTGCCTGTCAAGATGCCAAAACTAAGTCCTTGGAATTGTATTGAAATGTCAGCAATTGCAAGCAGCAACCGCATCACTAAATCCCCTTCTACAATGTGTGTATTTCTTCCATTTATATTTAGTGAGTGTGGTTTTATGGTTGTTTCCTGTGTCATACAATTGTTGTTCTTCATAACCTGTTATAGCTTCCATCAACCTGCTCATGAATTTCTTCCATTTATATTTAGTGAGTGTGGTTTTATGGTGGTTTCTTGTGTGATACAATGGTTGTTCTTCATAACCAGTTATATCTTCCATCAACCTGCTCATGTATCCCTTCCATTACTATTTAGTTAGTGTGGTTTCCTGTGTCAAGACAATGGTTGTTCTTCGTAACCTGTTCTAGCTTCCATCAACCTGCTCATAAATCTCTTCCATTACTATTTAGTTAGTGTGGTTTCCTGTGTGATACAATGGTTGTTCTTCATAACCTGTTATAGCTTCCATCAACCTGCTCATGAATCTCTTCCATTACTATTTAGGTAGTGTGGTTTCCTGTGTGAGACAATGGTTGTTCTTCATAACCTGTTATAGCTTCCATCAACCTGCTCATGACCAAGAAAGTGGAGCTCACATATTACTATTTCCATGATTTGAACCATGAATCTTAGAATGTATCCCAAGAAATGGAGAGTGCAGAATTGTTTGTTTTTATGGAAGATGTGAAGCAGACTCATCTTCGATATCAAGCCTTCCAGCTCTCAATAGTCCGATACGCATTCGACAAGGATATTTGGTAAATAGAGATTTGATGCGGAAGGAAGGAAGCTTTCGCATATATCTGCATTGTCCTGTGGTAGCTTTCTCTTCCTCCATTTTTTTTCTGTAGCAATTTGTGTGGAATTAAATGCATTAGAGACCAGCAATCCACGTGAAGAACTACAGGGACATGTTAACTCCCAATCGGAAGACAAGAAGACGAGCATCGCTGCAAGTGTTCATGTCAACTTCAGCCCACACCACCGACGCCACCTGTTGAGAAGTCGCAGTGTCTGTATGCATCACGCAGTCATATTCTCCTCGTTCGCTTGCTGAGATGATGGAGGAAGGGATCCTTTTACGTGCGGGGATCAAAGCCTGCAACAAGAGAACAAACAGAAGCGTCCAGGGATCAGCCCGGAAGAAGACGATCCGGTAACGATGGGGGCACTGTTGGACCGGTAAAGCTAAAGCACACAGCTGTGGTTCAGTGTCTACTTCTGGGAAGAAACCCTCCGCCCACTGGTTTACTCGATCTGTGCGTGCTGGTTCTCTTCCTTCTCTCTTTCGTGCTCTTCCCTTTACACTAGCTTTCTGTTTGGTGATTTGGGGGCTCAAACATCGATGCAGATGAGGAAGTTCACCGCCTTGTTCTCCATCTTCCGTGTCCGTTTGTTTCTCCCTTCCTTGTCTGGTTCTGCCCCACCTGTCGTCCTTTTGGTGCTTCTCTGTCTCGCACTCTCATTTTCCTTGGTCATGAATGCATTTATTGCTTGACTCTCTCTCTCTCTCTCTCTCTCTCACACACACACACACACCAGCTTATAAAAGCCAGAGATAGTAGACTGACCGAGGAAAGAGAACAATCTTACTCCTTGTAAAGTTGTCTCCCTCTCTAGTCCTCGTTCATTCACTCAAATCACATCAGGAAATGGGACTGCTCCACTGTATCACGACTCACAGAACGTTTCATCTCCTTCTCTCGGTGCTTCTCCTCTTGAGCTCCACTCCAGGCCAGTATTCGGCCGAAGGTAAAGCTTGTTTTGCTACCTGGTTAGGCGTTTCCTTCATCTTTATGGTCATCGGCTCTGAGTTTGTCTTGGCTTGCCACAGGTAGACCATCGTTTAGGCTTCTGGAGGTGGCAAACGTAAGGCCTTGAACTCGGTAAGACGTACTCTTTGATGAGAACTTCGCCTCTAACGTACGCCTTTCATCTTCAGTTGCAGGGAAGGGGAGAGGAGAAGGCGATGGTGAGAGCTTTGATCGGATCGAGACCACCGATCTGCGAGAGGAGGTGCGTGACATGCGGCCGCTGTGAAGCAGTTCAAGTGCCAGTAATCCCACAGGCGAAGAGCCGAAGTAGGCAATTCCTGGGCGTGGCCATCTTGAGGGGCGACTACAGCTCCAACTACAAGCCCCTGAGTTGGAAATGCAAATGCGGGGACGTCATCTTTAATCCATGAGACGCTACGAGTGAGTCGATACCAGATTTCAACTGTGGATAATACTCGATCGATCGATCGATCGATGAACTCTGTTCTTGTTCCCTTTCCCTTCGCTTCTGGGCTGTTTCGTGTGTCATGTATGCACTCCACTCGTCTCCCTGTAATCTGCCGGACAGACATCATGGTATTCTCGTTCGACTCCATGTAGCAGAAGCAAAATGGCATCTGGTCTTTTTGTCCCGAGTGCTTGATCTCTTGTGGCTCAGAGGTCCAACAGGGGAATAAAGAAAGTTCCTTCGGCATCTCACGCAGAGATTAAAAGTAGTCGCAGACTATGTTGGACGACGGTCACTGAAGTGACACGACGGAGGCGCAGTTGCGTGCCATTGCTGCACGCCATTCCCTCTCCATGAAATATCACGTCCGCAGAGCAGTATCCAACCAAACTGCATCTGATCTCAAGGCACATTTCGCAAGCAAATGATAGATGGCAGCGCGATTTGGGGCATTAAAGATGGCGTCCCATGTATTCTCCTCGGTCCGAGGCAGCGGAGTTGCCCAAAACTAGGAGAATACACCTCCTCCCCCCTCTCTGTCGACCTCAGTCTGTTGTGTTGAGTGTTGTGTCCTGCACAAGTTACATACATGTTGAAGTATGTGCATCGACGAGCCTTTTCATTCATGTCAACCAACACTCACACTCTCTCTCTCTCTCTCTCTCTGCTCC